AGAGCCCCCTAACCCTAACCCTAACCCTAACCCTAACCCTAACCCTAACCCTAACCCTAACCAGTGTTGGGTAAGTTACTTTAAAAATGTAATCCGTTACAGTTACAAGTTACCTTGTTTAAAATGTAATTGTAGTGTAACTTTTTCGATTACTTTTAAAAAGTAACTAATTACTTTTGATTACTTTTTGATTACTTTAAGGTTTTAATGAGTACTAACCCATGATTAATTTAGCATGTTATTATTAGCTATTGGCTGCAGCTAGCACTTCAAGGCTAACGTCTTGTTAATGATCATAAACAACGTAAATAAATACATAAATACATAAATAAATCAGAGAGAAGGGGGGTATCGATACTTTTGAAAATTAGTATCGTATCCGGATACAACATTTTAGTATCTGTACTTTTTTAAGTATCGATACTTTTGACAACCCTAGTCTGAAATGTAGGACATGTCTGGGAAAAAGAGGACGTCTGGTCACCTACAGTTGGGTATGCTAGGTACGCTAGGCTAGGTGGGCTAGGCTAGGTCATAGACATCGATAATCGTTTGTCATGCATCAACACCAAACAGTCAAATATTAGTAAATCAATACGCTTCGTCTATCAGTGAGTTGCATATTTCGCAAAGGTTTTTCTTTATATTTAAAAAAAAATCTAACTAAATTTGTAATTCTTAATATTTTCGGAAGTAACTGTAACTGAATGACATATTTTCTCATTGTAACTGTAACGAATTACAGTTACTCTTTTTTTGTAATTAAATTACGTAACGTCGTTACATGTAATCCGTTACTCCCCTAACCCTAACCCTAACCCTAACCCTAACCCTAACCCTAACCCTAACCCTAACCCTAACCCCCCTCACCTGAACCGGTCCTCTCTGGACTCCCTCAGCATGATGAAGATGAACAGTCCTACTTCTGTGTTCAGGGAGAAGGACACCACTCTGTCCAGCATCACCACGAAGCCCTAAAGAGGGGGGGAAACATGGGGGGGTCAGAGGGTAACCCTAACCCTAACCCCCCCTAGACCCCAACCCCCAATATTCCCCCCCCCCCTCCTCACTCTGGGGTCGCACACCGACACGATGAAGATGACTCCAAACCCAAAAAGAGACGCCAGACCTTTGGCCAAACTGGAGAAAAAAAGATAAAAAACATTCAGCTTTAATCCAAAAACTTTAGATTAAACTTTAACACCAACAGATACAGTCCTAAAAAGAGCACCTGAGAGAGGGGGAGTCTCTCTAAACAACCCTGGAGAAAAGAGAAGAAACCATTCAGCATCCGGCCCAAAAACTAGATTTTAAAGGAGACATATTGTGCAAAACCAAGTTTTTAATCATGTGATTCTGTGCATTTGGGACTGTGGAGGGCCTATCAGCAGGAAAAGTGGAGAAAAACTGGAGAAAAGAGAGAAAACATTCAGGTTAAGTTTCAGGTTCCTGCCCAAAAACCTCAGACTACACTTTAAAGTGGACATATTATTCATCTTAATCATTGACACTATCCACCTCTCATTTTGACCTATATATATATACATATAGTTTTTTATGTATATATCTAGCCATATTTATGAGGAATTTTGTATATATATATATATGTATATATGTATAGACATGTACATATGTATATGCCTTTGTTTTATTTTGCTTATGGAGCTTGTAACAAAAATAATTTCCCTCTGGGATTATTAAAGTATTTCTGATTCTGATTCTGATTCTGATTAATCATTTCATTGTATACATTTGGGACTGTGGAGGGCCTATCAGCAGGCAAAGTGGAGGAAAAACTGGAGAAAAGAGAGAAAACATTCAGGTTAAGTTTCAGGCTCCTGCCCAAAAACTTTAGATTAAACTTTAACACCAACAGATAACACCTGAGAGAGGGGGGGTCTCTCTTAAATGTTTGAAAGCATTTTCCTTTAGATTTAAACAGGAAAAAAGCAGGAAAAGCTGAGATTTCTGAGCTCTTTGAACACAACAATGATTTTCCTCCATCTAAAGACCTCAAAAATCTGATTTTCAATTATTTTTCCTTATCTAAAGACCTAAAAAAATATTTTTCAATGATTTCCTTAATTTAAAAACATATAAAGCTGATTTTTTAATAGATTTTCCTTCCTCTAAAGCCCTAAAAAGCAGATTTTTAATTATATTCCTTCATTTAAAAACCTAATAAGCAAAATTTTCAATGATTTTCCTTCATTTAAAGACATAAAAAGCTGATTTTTAACGATTTTCCTTCATTTAAAAACCTAAAAAGCTCATTTTCTAATGTTTTTCCTTCCTCTAAAGCCCTAAAAAGCTGTTTCTCAGTGGTTTTCTACAGAATTCCCCACTCAGATGTTCCTCCATCTAAATGGATCCCACACAGTATCCTCTCCTTTCTCAGGTCACATGGGACAGCAGCCCTGCTCCCATTGGCCCGTTTGGATCAGACGTCTGAAAGCGTTTTCGTTTAGATTTAAACAGTAGTGTAGTACTTCTTCTTCTTCGTCTCTCACCACAGTTACCAATTTAAAATTAGTTGAATCACTCTACA